AATCAGGGTGCGTTTCATATTCGAGGACATCTTGCCTTTTACATCGTCTCACACTCGTAGGAAAAGTGCTTGATTGGTTTCGAGACTTTTTGACAAGCCAAATCTTTTGAATAAGTAAAGAGTCGAATGAATCAAAACTCTGAACAATAATTTTCAGTTCAAGGGTACAATCATGCTTTCTCTATAAATAAAATGAATAAAAATGTTTTCTGGAGAACATGAATAATGTGAAGAAAAAAATGGCTTATGATGGGGACGTTCAACTGCGCATGCACTCCATTGTACAATTTCAAAAATACAATTTAAAAAAAAGGTTTACCTTAAAGAACTGGGGTCTTACTCAAGGGCGCATGGTACTGAGAAGCATGGGTACATGGTACTGTACATGGGTGCAAGGTACACAACCGAAACCTACTTTGATAACTGTATTGGCCTTGGAGAGAAAACACATTCAGAATTATTAACCAAGTGTAAATGCGGTTTTAAATGAAATTCACCCCAGTCAATTCTCGAACCTACAGGATTTTTGTGCCTGCAAGGTTTTATAGGACCTGGGCTGGAAAAAAATCATCAAAAGAAACAGATAAAATGAAGGTGTGGATCACATTTGGCCATATGCACCCTTCTCTTCCTATTACTTTAGTCATCTCATGAACAAACCTGTTTTCAGCATCTTTCTCTGGCCAGCAGAATCAAAGGTTTTTTTTTTTTTTTGTCAACTGGGTTTCAAAGAGGCTTAACGGCTGGCAAAGTCAAAGGGTTTTTTCTGATGGTGACCCTCTTTTGTCCTTCCCCTCAGAACCTGGCATTCCGCACTTGATCGAGAATTTCTATAAAAAAAATCAGGAAGTTTGTCATTTATTTGCCTTTTGTCTTGGACCGTTTACGACTCCCACTTATTGGCGATTTGATCGAACTATTTTATTTTTTCCTTCCTCTTACATTTACTTGAATTTTAACAAGATTATTTGTTTTTTTCGTTTTGTCTTTTGCTTACAGTTATCTAGATTTCATCAACCTCATGGCCTACGATTTCCACGGCAAGTGGGAACGACAAGCAGGCCACAACGCGCCGCTTTATGCGCCATCTTCCGACAGCGAGTGGCGCAAGCAGCTCTGCGTGACGCACGCGGCGGACATGTGGGTCCGCCTCGGCGCCCCTCGGGACAAACTGGTCATTGGCATGCCCACCTATGGCAGGTCCTTCCAGCTGTCCGAGAAAGCCAACTATCACGTCAATGCACCTGCCAGCGGTGGCGGCAATGCTGGCAAATACACCAAGGAGAGCGGTTTCCTCGCCTACTATGAAGTTAGTAAAAAAAAAAAAAAAAAAAAAAAATGTATAGTGCCATTTAATGGGACTGGGACAATTTGAGACGGAAAATTCGAGACATTTTGACACTAGAGGGAATTGAGCTCCTTTGTTGTCCTTTGATCTCCCAAATTTGAAAATTCTGTATAAATCTTCTTTGACAGAATAATACATGAACCTCTATTATCCATAAAATTAGCTGTATTTTTCTGGGATGATGTCCACTTCATTCAAATTTCTTGCAATACAAAGACAATTTTTTTTTTATTCATGCAAATAGTTCTTTAGCCTTGACAGAATCATGCATGAACCTCTATTGTCCATTCAATTAGCTGCATTTTTCTGGAATGATGCCCGCTTCATTCAAATTTTTTTGCAATACAGTACAGAGAAAATTTCCTTTTTTATTCATGTAAATAGTTCTTTAGCCCATTTATTACTTTGAAAGAGCATATGAAAAACATCAAAATTACCACTGGCTTTTACGTCTTATGTCAGATATGCAGTAATGGAATTTCAGTTGCATGAAAAATGGCTTCTGTCTCCAATCTTGTCACAAAATCTGTGTTTCTCTAATTTTTGCTGTCTGACATTGTCCACATCTTCAAGGGTCTCTGTTGTCAAATTTCCTGCTCTGAAATTGCCCCTGTCATCAGTTGTCCCTTTCTCAAATTGTCCTTGTCATCAATTTTCCATTCAAAATTGTCTGTATCCTCAATTGAGTGTATATACAGTATGGATGGGTCTCTTAGGCACAGGGTTCATTCCATGTATATTAACACAATGGGGTGGGATGAGTGACATCTGCGAGCATTAACCCTTTTGCAGTGGAGCCAGGATACTTTTTTGTAAAATTCATGGATTTTGTGCACAAAAAGTTGTTGGTCTCTCAGAAAACCTAAAATTTGTGCTGAACAGCCCAGACTAAGTTTTGATGACCTTTAGTCTAAACCGAATGTCCTTTTTGTGCAAAAAACCCTTGCTAATAAGCCGTAGGATGGAATTGAGCTGGTCAACAAGTGGGCATTGGAAAAAAAATANTATATGCATTTTTCTAGTACAGCATTCATTTACGGACATCTTGTTACTAAATAAATGTGAAGCACTTTTAATGTTTATTCTTTGAACTATTACCAACTCCGCAAAAATAAAGCTCAAAAATATTCGACTGCATAAAATATACCTCTCAACGTTTAATTTCTCTCGGTTTTTTGAAGACAGAGACAGTTATTGAAAATTTCATGCTTAAATTTCGTCGAAATAGTAAGAAGAATGCAGAGAAATCATCCGTCCTAAAGATTTTCTTTTTTAAGCAACATCTGTATTAGAGGAATAATAAATAACTAAAATTAAAAGAAAATATGCGTTCTTCAATAAAGGTGGTAGGCATTTTTGAAAGATGGTTTCTGGAAAATAAATTCCTCTGTTCGTGGTCATACAAATGGGACTAAAAAAATTGAACAAGACGTCAGCAGGAAAACTGAGTAAAAGGATTACAGTAGAACATCACTGTGTTCGTAATTTCGGTGGATTGCAAATTTTAATATTCCACAGTGGATTCCCTCAGGCGTTATTCATATTTATATATTCAGCAGGATTTCTTCGGAAATACACTTTAACCTAATTATTGATTTTTACGTTATTCGCGAAAGTGTGCGCAAAAAGCGGACCGAGAGATTATTCTTCAAATCGCTGTTTATCTGGAACAAAAGTTTTTATTCCTCCTTCCTAAATAATACTCCTAAATAAAACCTATACGCTCCAAGCAATGTGCTAAAATTCTGCTGCTGAAAGCCTTCAGGCGACCTATACACAACACGTATATCTTCAGGAACCTAAACGCTGGTCGTTCGCGCGTGTTTCGCATAAACTTGCAGGTGTGCCAATTGCTGCAAGAAGGTGCCAAGTACGTCTGGGACGACGAGATGAAAGTGCCGTACTTGGTGGACGGAGACCAATGGGTTGGGTTCGATGATGAAAAAGCCATTCGGAATAAAATGGCGTGGATCAAGTCTGAAGGCTACGCCGGCGCCATGGTGTGGACTCTGGACATGGACGATTTCACCGGCACTGTGAGACTTTCATTCCTTCCCCTTTCGAAATGCTCCATTACGTCGTATATATTTACATCCGCAGTTTTTCTGTTGTTTATTTATTTTTATTATTTCGTTATCTTCTTTCCTTTTCCTCAACTCGCATTGGAAGTTGCATATGAATTTAAAATGCCCTCTGGGCTTTTGGAGTCCAAGCCTGAGCCAAAAGAAGAAAGAAACAGTTGTGTGTGGTTTAGGCATTATTATTTTTATTCATGTCTGACTGTCTTTTGTGCAACACCGCTTGAAATTCAAACTGAATATCCTTTCGCTACATTTTAATGCGCGAAACTTCTTGAGGACATTTTTTCTTGCTTTATTTGTGGCAATTCACTGCAATCAGTTGGTATAACGAGATCTAGACGCATGCATTTCATAAAACTACAGTTGATCCTTTTCAATAAGTCAAGTTTAAGGGAACTTATCAACAAAATTCGAGTTAAGGAAACACATTTTTATGTTGGAGGGGAGAGGATGAAGAATTGCAGAAAATTTTAATTGGTGATGTTCTAGGCTTCGAAGTGTTGCCTGAATAAATTGACAGAATACTGAACGTGGAGGCAAGGGTTCATATGCTAAGTTCGTCTTTCACTTTCTTCCAAAACGCATGAAGTTCCAGTTTTTTTGCATTTCTCTTTCCTTTGTCAATAAAAAAAATAGCCAAAAGGCCTCCAGAAAAGTAGACCTGTGGAGGTCTGTGAGGAAAAGCCCTTGAGTTACGGTTTTTAATGCGAAAATTCTATATGAAATTTCAGACGGGGACTTTAAAAAAATTTGACATAGGGAGGTATTTGACTGTTAAAGTTTCAAGTTATTTGAGTTCAACTGTGTGAGAGAGGTCAGAAATTCGCTGGAGGTTCAATTTATGCATAGTGAAACAGCACAACCAAAAAACGGTCTAAAATTCCGGAATTCTCTGCAATTTTCCGCATTTTCTGAAAGATTTTCGTTCCCTTGCCTCTATAAAATTTTAAAAGCATTGGACTTGCCTCGAAAGTTTTATTTTCGCTTGGTGTCAGTGAAAGTTCAGCAGTTTTGAAAAAAAATTTGGAACTTTATACAGG